AAAGGTGACGGCGCCGTCTTTATTGAGTAATTTTGATCTAACCTATTTTCTTTAGGTCCAAGAAAGTCATATTTCTGACAGTTTTGTTGCTTAAAACAACGTTGGCATCTCTCTCTAGAAGGTGTTTGACCTCGACCGTCATGATGGAATCGATTCCTACTTCCTGTAGGGTCAGGCTGTCATTCAATGAGTTCTTCACACCTGCAAAGCATGAATTGTACATGGACATTTTTTTTTACAATACTGTTTAATGTACACGTAATTTAATTTTTTTAGAAATTTTCCGCTTGAAAGCATTGGCAGATTTGAGTTCTAAGACCATTTAATATTTCGTTTAAGTTTTTAAATTTTTTTCCCCTTATTGATCTTTTTTTTTTGTGTGTGTGGATATTTTTTACATTGCTCGTTTATTTTATCTTAATTTGTTCTGAAAAATATTTTTTCCTTCACTGACTGCTGTAACGTCGATAAAAGATATTCAGGATTCTTTTAGACATTTTAATGCGGCGTTGGAGGAGGAGGGCGATGGGGGAATGGCTACTCTTGAAGTAACCGGGGGTGGGGGGTGGGGGCACTGGTGTAAAATCGTATATTTTCTATGTAGTAAATTATTTATTTTCCTATTTCGTCCGGGGATGGGGGGGGGGGGGGGGCTGCGGTGGATGACATGATCTGGGTGGAAGTGCCTCCTTCCCCCACCCCCGCAGATTCTCGTTAATGAATCCACATTTCACGTATTTTGATAGTGCCAGTGACAATGGTTTTCGTACTGTCTGACATATGTGATTCCCATCAATGATTCATGTATTTTGACATTGTCACTGACAATGATCTGTGTTCTGTCTGACCTCACCTAACAGCTTTAGAACCTTCTCCGTGACGCTTTGAGGTTTCACTGCCTTCTTCCTTTCGGTACCTTCTCTTTGCTGTTTGACAAAAGAGCCCACTACTGAGTAACCACTGGTCATTGCTGAGTCCAGCGCTTCAAGACACGATGCCATACATTGAGGAGCAAAGCATGAGATGTGGCCGGTAGTAGATGACGTCATGCTCTTAACAACGTAACCCACATCACCAATCCATCCCCACTGGATGGCCAGGCCTTTAATATAAGTAAATAAATAAATATAAAATAAAGTTATTGGACATTTTTTGTATGTAGGACTATGGCCTATGGCCTATTCATATTACGTGTGTTCCTTCAAAAAGATGTTTATTCCGTTAAGTTTTCTTGAAATATTTTAAATAATAGAACACTATTTTTGAGAGTGAAAGAGAAACAACACTAAATCAAACAAAACAATTCCTAACCTAAAGCATGCTATAAAATAACACACGATTCCGATTTATTATAAAATATAACGTTTGATTATATTTTAAACGATTACTATTCGAAAACTTAACTCTACCTGTTGATTTGGGGATAAGTTGTGAACTATGCCTTTTAAGTTCCTTGTCGTATAAAAGGCTAAGTAAATTATTCAGCTTTGATTTTAATGTCATATTAGTATTGATATAAATATGATTTCTTTTGATATTAGATTACTTCTTTTCAGTTATTTCTTGCGGATTCTAATCTAGTGCTCATCTGTACAAATGTGTACAATTTCGACATCCACTTTTGTATTATATCTATAACAATTTAGAGAAAAAACTGGCAGTTAAAATCACGCATGCGTAGATGGTATTTTACCATGAAAACCATCTGAGCGCCTTCGCTCACAAATGCGCTCCATGGCGGAGTTAGCGTAGCCATAGTTGGTCTGTCCGGCTGTTCCACGTGAGCAGGACTGGGAAGAGAAGACGACGAACCAGAGTTCTCGGTCGCCGTACACCTCTCTGGTCAGTTTGTCCAGGTGTTGTGTGGTACCAGCTTTTGGGCCACTGACCGCTGCGAAGTTTTCCGGAGTCTGGTTTTCAAACAAGCCGTCTTTCAACACCTTTAAGAGATAAACAAATACCAGAATTATATTGTCGCTTATCTGATATGTATAACGAACACATGATATTCAAACATCTTACAATAGATAAACAAAGTATATTTCACGCGTCTCTTAGGGGGGGGGGGGGGGCTATATGTCTACGGCTCTCGAACGAAATAGAATGTATTTAGAAAATTTATACTTTTATCAGTGTCCGCACTCCCGGAAAATTTAGCCCCCCCCCCCCACAGATATTTTTAATGCCCCGCCCTTCAACCGGTGGAAAAAAAGTCTAAAAGAAACAGTGGAGTTCAACAAATACCAGATTTATATTGTCGATTTACTTGTATTTATAACGACAATATGATATTTTAACACATTAAATGGATGAAACATACCAGATATAAAAATATAATAGACATTTTAATAAGTTAATTACTTCTTTATTTAAAAATTAACGCTTTGAAAAAATTAACACAGACCAGTGAAGCGTTAAAAATCCCGCCTAGTGGCGCCATCTGTGCAGTTTCTTTCAACAAAGATGCAGCACTCGTGTACGAGAGCGCGTCGTTCGTGCTGACCACCACTTCCGCTCCTAATGACCTCAGAAGGTTGACCTTGAACTGCTGGTAACCCGAGCTGATTCCTTTTCTACAAGTGAAATCCAATATTTATTTTATTGGTAAATTTAAGCAAAAACCAAGACCTTAACAGAACACCGTGTACATCAAATGTAAAACAAATGTAAAACAAAACAACTTATTGTATCAAAACATACCTACATCATTTATAATAAAAACAATCATAAAAAGATCATGCTTATACCATCTACACTTATGAACATCACTTCTAACAGTAACATACATAACAACATCATACTCACACCAACTTTTGTTATCACACCACTAGTATTAAAAAGTGTAAAAGCACAGCTGTTGGCAATAGTACGAAAACAATTATTAATTCGGACTTTAATTAGTTGTTTGAAAGCTAGTTCGAGGTGATCAAGTATCGGACTAAATCAATGCCAGGAGAATTGAAACTTTCAAAATTCGTTAGAGACTAAAAAAAAGTAGCTTACCTGGATGTTAGGACCAGGTGACGACAACCACGTTTTACCAGCCAGTGGGCAAGTTCAAGGCCAAATCCACCAAGGCCACCTATTATGATGTAAGAATGTGTGGGCTTACATTTGGTGAAGGTCAGTGCTGGAACTCCTGAGGTCAAGGGTTGACTGGCCTGTTCCACCTGCACCTGCCAGTTGAATTCAGTAATAAATTTTAACTGATAATTAGCCACGGTTACTTGTAGTTTTAGCTTGCCGAAACAATTTTTAACAGCGTAACAATTGTTTTGATAGTTTAAGCTACTAGCATTGGGATTTCCAAATATATTTTTAGACGATTATTTTTGCAATTCTAAAAAAACGTGGGAAAATCACAACGAGCAGAGCCCTGAATTCCCCCCCCCCCCCCCCCCCCCCCCCCCCCCCCCCCCCCCCCCCCCCCCCCCCCCCCCCCCCCCCCCCCCCCCCCCCGTCTCCACATTTTCCAACACACATTCCTATATACATATTTAGAGCTCGCGCACGCGAGAAAGCTCGTACTCATTCCTGGTGTCTCTACCCTCAACACCGGCCCCAACACCTCAACTAAAGATTAAACACACCTCACCTGCCCTACTCAATAAACCTAACACTTGGAACCAACACACCTCACAACTAGAATTAACAAACCCACACCTGCACTCAGCACACCCCAGCCGTGATCCCCATACACAACTGATGAACTCCTACACCCAACCCACATCACCCTGGACCCAATACAGCCTCACCCCTAAAACCAAAGCACCCCACCCCAGGACTCAACCAGTACTCCTCACCGTTGGACCCAACTCATCCCACCTGTGAACAACCCCCCCCCCCACCAAACTGTAACTAAGCTTAATTAAACCATAACTATTTACCCTAATGACACATTTCTTCACGTGCCGGATCGCCTCCATGTCTAAGATGGCTTCCTGTGCTCCGTGAATGTCATACAACACACACGGCAGTGGCTTGACAGCACCGGATATGATGCCAGCTTGTAGATACTCCCTTATCTCATCTCTTTGGTTCCTGGTTGTCTTAGACGTCAGCAGGTGATGCATGTCTATGGTGTGGATCTGACAAGCTTTCTCCAATATTTGTTGTACTGCGGATGTAAATGCATTTATTTTTACCAGAAATTCCCATTTATAAATCAATGTAATTTGTTTCCATATATATATATATATATATATATATATATATATATATATATATATATATATATATAAACTTACAATTGGAGAGAGGATCCAGAGTACCAAGTTGAATAAAACAGCCGCGATTTGCTAGTAGACTGCTGGTAATTGGAAAACTTTGGCCGGGAATTGCGGTGAAAATGATGTCTACGCCTAGAAAGAATGTTTTAACGTAGAAGAGTTGAACTATCAAAACCAATACAGTCTAGGGGGAATAGTAGTGATTTAAAGATACATTCCATAGGCCCATCTGTGATATAAAAGATGCAATAGATAAGCTGATCAGATATAATAGCTCTTTGGTCTAGACTTCCTTCATAAGGTCTAGTCTTAACACTAAATTTGTAGGCTACTTAGCAGCCCTGTTACTGTCGTTGTAAATATATTTCAAACCTACCTAACCCACCAGTGTTCTTGAGGAAAGCGTTAGACCACGTGACGTCAATGTCAGATGCCAGTGTAAAAACTTGTATTTCCGGGTACAGTTCCACGAGCTTTGACTTCCTGTCTTGGTTTTCCACCACAGCAGCTACGTCACAACCCGCGTGAAGAGCTAGATTCAGGGCAGCCTGGAGTATGGCAAGAATGGAACTGTTACACTTTTACTATTTAGAGTTAGTTTTTATAATAGTTATTAATGTAGTTCTCATGTTAGACGTAGTAAAGTTCCCTTTTTGTACCTGACGGTCCATTGGGTATTTGAAGTAAAGTTCACGTGTTTCTGTGACCTCGGCATATAAAGGGATAGTGTGGTCAGCGATATGCCTAGCCGTCTTTACCTTCCCTAACCCATTAGAGCTGGGTTGACTCAAGGTCGTTCTACTGACTTAAACCCGGATTCGAAATCTAGAATTTCGGGTTAACAGTCTAGCACTCTACCTCTAAGCCACTCCACCCCTTACGTTAGACATACTAGACCTATTTTATGCTAATTGATACAAGTTATTTTTAAACGTTCTATTTTTGTGTGTGTAAATCCCACACTTGAATCAAGTATTTAAAGAAGGAATGAGAAACGACAATAAATTGAGTACCTGTCCTGCTATACTGTCCGCGCCAACGATCAGAAGACTGAGCTTTTGCCTTAGTTTGCCGATTACATGAAGTCCATAATAAGCTACTGAGTACGCCATAGGCACTGTGGCAGCTTCTTCAAATGACCAGTGATCAGGTATCGGGAGCCATATCCCCTCTTCAATGTCTACGTGTGTGCTCTTTTCATTACAAAGAAATTTAATCTATGCATTAGGTTAATCTGGGTACGTAATATTAAATCAATTAAAAAATATATGCCTATTTTTATTTATTTAATTTTTTTTTAAAAAGCACATACACAAGCTGACGTCACTGCGGCCATAACACGTGACCCGTTAGCCAATACTCCTGCAACATCACAACCAATCACATTGTCGCGGAGTCCTAAAGCTGAAAGGAAAAAAGTATTTTGTTAATCTGAAAACTTCACTAAATTGATTTACCTTTTCTCAACTGAGCATAGGGCATTGAAACAACAGCTTGTACTTACAAGATGACGTCACTCTGCCCATGACAAAGTCCACGTCATCAGAAGATAGTCCCAATGTGTTAGCTCTAACCACGCAACTGTTGTTGACGTCAGGGTACCTAAATCACATTTTGAAGACAGTTGGAAAACTGTTTTTAAACACTTTAATTTTTAAACGCTTTACATAAAATGTGTTTAACCTTCACCCACCCACAAGGCATGTTGGTCCATTTCAGCGAAGTGGTGTCACCCCACACCAAAGGATGAAGCGATGCTTTTTCTAGAAGTGTCGATTTTGTTTCTGAAATTTGGTATACACATTTTTTTTCAACGCTGTTCAAATAAAAATAAAATAAACTTTTATTTAAAAACAATTGATAAAATGATACCGTAGACTTCCAAAAATAATTTCAATGCAGCTCAAATAGCTTCAACTTTCACTACAAATTATTTTATAAAACCATACAGTTTTATTACATAAAATAATTAATGATTTAGAATAAAGTCTTTGTCGAAAATTTGATGGCAAGTTTTTTAAAAAACTAACCAAGTTATAACTCACGATCTTTCATTTTTGTCATTAATTATTACATGATGTATGATATACAAAAAAATTAAATTCGAAATATGCTAGTCATCATAATCTGTGCTTACATATGTGTATTTAAAATACTTCGATTAACTTGTTAGATATCAACAACATAGAAACAAACCTGGTTCTCTAGGGATCAAAGACAAGGTCCCCCAGTGTCCATCTCTGAAAACGTTAATGAAAAGGTCTTTGTTTCTCACTTGGTTAAACTCTTCGCTCGACTCTGTCAGGTCAGGCGACCTTGACCCTGGCTGCAGGTTACTGACGAAAGCACACCGAACCCTGTCACCGAACCCTTCCTCTTTTAAACACTTGAGAAACCCTATCACGCCATTGTTGGGTTGGGCTGCGGTTAACCAAACTCTGGTGTCTTTCGGTAACTGGTGTAGATCTACTAAAGTGTACTTCAGTTCTTCAATCCAATTGTCTTCATCGTCCATTTCTATACAAAATGGCGGCGTGAGTAAAATAACTTTTTTTCTCAACAAATACAGCGTGGATGTCACCTCGTTCGATTTCTTATAAATCAACTCAAAGCTATTTTTTTCGAACAAAATTAACAAATCCTCGTCTTTATAAAACGCTGTGCGTTGTTTTCTTTTCTTTTCATTGTTAACCACATCATTTTCAAGAGCAGATAACAAATAAGAAATAGGGGAAGCTACTGTTACTTCTTCTACCATTAAAAACCCTCCATCTGCGAGTAGATGTGATACTTTGATCAGTGTAGCCTCGATATCGCTTTGCTTGTGAAGGCAGTTTTTCATGAGGACAACACTAAAGCGACCCGGTGGTGGTGTCTCAGAGTCCAAGTCCCAAATCACGTGACTGGTACCGGGTATGGCTGCTTCGTTAATACAACTCGCATCCTTTACACTGATAGTATAGGACCACACCCAACGTGGTTCGTATTCCAGTAAAGGCACAGCTTTGAGAAATGTTCGGCTTTCCATTCCATCAATTTCCACGAAAGACACTGTAGACTCATTCGTGTTATCAAATATGATATCAAGACAAGGCTTCAACAAATTACTGCTACTTAGGCTTGTCAGAAGTCGATCCGTGGCTGTTTTGGCAATAGTTGTGAAAAAATCTGGCACAACCTCTTGTTCTTTTTTGCACTTAAATAAACTGGTAAGTAAAGCCGCTAAACCACAATCTTCAAACGGCAAATATTGGTCAAGGGTTTTTACTCTTGTGTCTGTTGGAAATAAAGATTTTATTTCTTCTAGAACATTCGCAAGTTGTGGCCAACTCCTGGCTTGACTTGAATTGCACATGATAAAACCGTTACAATCCTCCGCGTAAGTTTTCAGTGGCTTAAGCATTTCATTGTTGAAGTTTTCGATGTAGGGGACAAAAAGAGTCTCGTCAAAAGAAAACTTGCTTCCCTGCTGACGTGGAACTTGTTGCAGTGTCATCGTCTGTAGAGTTACACCTCCACAATCAACACAATCTTCCTCGTTGTTTACAGAGGCTGGCAAATCTGAAACAGGAGAATTGGAGAAGTTAGTGAAAAAATTCATTGTTTGTATTGTCCTATATTTTTTGTATTTTCTTTCACTGCCTGTGCACACCTCCCTGTTTCACTCAGTGTTCTTACGTTCCAAGTTCCTATCTGGATAGCCTTATAGAGAAGGACAAGACAGGAGGCCTTGTCAGTACAAATAAGAAGAAGTCTTCTTAAAGAACTAAAGACAGCAGTGATGACTTGTGAGACTGGAAAATCAATAGCCAAATGGAAGTGTATGGTTGTGACCCTATGCTTCACAAGGAGTATAAAGGATTAAGTCAAGTAAGGCATGTTGCTCTCTTAAATTCATTGTCAAAAATATTTTCTTACTAGATGCTAATTTAAATCTTTAACAACAGGAAAAAACACGTGTAATCGGTGTAGGCTTACATGTTTTTACATTTTATATTGTAAATAGTGTTGTTGGTTTGAATACAAATGTGATAAAATCGTCAAAAATTATTCTATCAAATTTATCTTATTTATAAATGAGAGCTGTCCAATATTTTTATTTAAAAACATGTAACTATAAAAACGAACGTAAGAATATACTAACCGCTCGGGTAATTTATTATAGTTTCTCGTTTAATATCTGTCATATTATTGCTGCCACTAAAGCCAAACGGTAAAAAAAATTACATACACAACGGTTCGGCCATTTTAGGTTCCGATGATGGGTGGGCATTGACGTCAACCTTCAGAAAACCCAGTCGTATTGGTGTGGCTCTCACACCCAGATTTTTTCTCGCCATCAGGGACTGGATGGCGTAGTCCAGAAATAGCATCCAGTTGCCATTCCAAGCCAATGAAAAACTGGAAACTAGGGACATTTCATCAAGCATTTTAGCAAACTAAGCTATTATAGCAAATTAAAATGAATTTTAACTTTTTTTTTAAACATAAATATCTTTTTGTTTACTTGCATATACGCCAATGTACACATTTTACATTGCAAAACAAAAAGTGTCTTTCACACAATTCTATACTTTTCTGTCAAATTGTTATTATCTATGTTATTGGGGTTCGAGAGCTTACTAACATTGTTTCCAAAAACTCGAACTTTAAAAAAATATATATAATGTTTACATATTTTAATTTTTTATTCAATCTAAGTGCTGTACACCTATCAATATAACCCTCTCCCCACTCCAACAAACACACATACACAGACCTCAGGAAACAACTTACAGTCCACAGTACATCCACGTATTCCTTCAAAAGCACCACTATGTTCAAAGCCCATTAGCCTCCAAAAAGTATAAAAATCCTGCTTTGACATTCTAGAAGTTTCTGGAACATCGTCGGCACACTGCATCATTATCCTGGTCTGATCATTGCTTCTAGCAGACGAGAGCTTTTCTATGTTACCTTCAGCTACAAGCTCACCGTTTACGTTTCGTATTTGAAATGTGCGCGTTTCTAATGCAACAGTAACTTTCAGGACAGTTGGTTCTAAAATTTACAAAAATAATTTTTAAAAATATTAAATAATAATTAAACGAATTAGAGGCGTGGTTAAAACATAGACTAGCCTTTACACATTTAATTTTACAACTAAATTGAGCTAAAAAAAAAAGCATTGTACGATCTTTAAAATTTGTCCCCACTGCGACTGCAAACAACTAACCGAAACACTTAACACAGTACAAGAAGTTACTAAACATATATTTTCTCTAGAGGATAATTTAACTTTTAGTATCGTACTTAAGACTATTATTTAAGCCTGGTTGACTTTGTCGTGGAAGACTTTTTCCGGGAATAATTATTAGAGTAATTTTATCTTTTCGAATTTTGACTTAATAAATTTTGTTCTGTGATTTTTTATACTGTAACGTTCTCACAAAAAAATCCCTTAGAGCGATAAACGCATGACTATGTGCCATGTCGTAAACTTACCGTCCATAGATAGAAAGGTTTGCTTCAAGAACCGGACATTCTCAAACTGTACGCCCAGAGCATGATGGGAGGTTCCAAGTTTCTTGGCAAGAGCCACCCATGCGAAGTAAAGATATCCGGCTACAGGGAGCACTGGCTGGCCATTCAACTGGAGAAAACATTTCGTTTCACGAGATTCAACAATTTAAAATATATTATAAGTTCACAAATCGTGATAAATATATCATACAAATTATGCTTCCTTCTTTGGAATTTATCAAAATATACAAGATGAAAAACGTATTCATAGTAGGCCTAAAATAAGGATAACAGCAATCCAATTCCTTAGCTCTATTAACTACAAGATTGCTATTGTTTTTAATTAATAACTACAGTGATCTTTAGTCGATTCCAATAATCTTTTACAAATAAATTCTATTATTTGGATAAACTTCATCTAACTAAAGCTTTAATACAAGGAAATATATTTAAAATCATGTAATTTACCACATCCTTATTAAATTTGTGCACTTAAATGAATAATCTCACCCCTCCCTTTCCCAAAAAGTAAAATATTAAATGAAGTAAATCTAAAATCAGAGCCGGATAGATCTACCAACCTTATGGTCTGCGAGGTATTCGAACTCGCCACCTCCCGAGATGTCCAGCCTGACCTCCAGGTTGTCCGACTGCCTCATGTAGTCGGTGTAGAGCGGTACCCTCCACTGGACAGAGTGGTTCCAGATGTTACTCACAGCAGACGAGATGATCGGCGTGCTCGCGGGCACAGGGAAGCTCACGTCTGCATGTAGTGCCATCGGGTTCAGGTCCAGCCCGTTGAGATAACACCTGAGAAGGGTTCCATGACAAATGATCTCAGGACAAATGATCTCAGACAAAATATCTCAGACAAAATATCTCACGGACAAATGATCTCAGGACAAATGATCTCAGGACAAATGATCTCAAGGACAAATGATCTCACGGACAAAAGATACCAGGACAAAATATATCAGGACAAATGATACCATGGACAAATGATCTCAGACAAAATATCTCAGACAAAATATCTCACAGCAAATTTTTAATAGTATTTACGATGATTTTAGTTGAACTTTTTTATGACTGTTAATATGGTTTTGTTTACTTTTTTACGTATAATAATTGTGAACAAAATGAATTAGTGAAACCTAACAAACCAAAAGGTGTATTAAGCAATAGTAGTAGCATTTGATTTGAAAAAATAAATATTAAAAAAAAACTTACTCTTTTAGCCTGAAAGGTATAATAAATGATGATGTATAAAACAATTAAAGTAACGGTAGCTATACAACACTAATATTCATATCACGCGAAATATCTTTAAAAAATGTGAATGGGTCTGAAGGTTCGTAACGTTAAACTATTGTTTTTATTACATCATCAACACAAACATAACGTGTGAGTTTCTTTTCTGGTAGGTACATCGTTATGATCACACGTCTCCAATACTATGTAATCATGTATTGTGTGAACTCTTGCTCGACATGTCCTAATTTCACATTTCCATATCTCTTTGCCTGCTTATGGCAAACATAAATTCACCAGAAACTAATGTCCAAATACCTTTCTGCGAGGTAACGTAAGACCATAGCAAAGCAATCACCATTAATACAGCTTTGTTTGATGCACACTACGACATACTTAGCTCCGCGATGACCACTGTCATTTAAATAAGCATTAGTCACCTGATCACTAAGGTGTGACCGACGCATAACAATGGACTTTATATGCTAGTCGTGTTGTCCATGGAGGGCGGATGTCATTCCCTTAAGGCATGTCTCTACCATCAAAGCCACCTTGATACGAAGGTGTGTCCTTATTGTTCTTCCATCCTCTTTGATCTAGTTTCGTCCACCTGACGTGGTAGGATTGTCTCACGTTTGTCAAGCACACCTACGCTGTCTTTCGAAATTATTTCTTTAATCTTAGTATACTATATTACTAATAATAACCTTAAAATATTTAGTGCAATATGACTATTTTATACGGCAAACATTTCTTACAATTATTATATAGGCCTATAAACAATATTAAAAATAGTAAACAAAACCATAAGACAGTCAATAAAAAAAAATTCAGATCAATTAAAATCATCCAATACACTATTAAAATTTAGGTGTGAGATATTTTGTCTGAGATATTTTGTCTGAGATCAATTGTCCGTGGTATCATTTGTCTTGATATATTTTGTCCTGGTATCTTTTGTCCGTGAGATCATTTGTCCTTGAGATCATTTGTCCTGAGATCATTTGTCTTGAGATCATTTGTCCGTGAGATATTTTGTCTGAGATATTTTGTCTGAGATATTTTGTCTGAGATCATTTGTCCTGTCACCCCTGAGAAGTATTGTCTGATTACGTGGGAACACTCATTAATTACAAAACCGCCGTTAAATCGATTCGAATTAATATATATATATATATATATATATATATATATATATATATATATATATATATATATATATATATATATATATATATATATATATATATACATACATATACATACAACAGTTATAAAAAGTAAAATTAGAAAACATTTAAAATGACTATACACAGAATCTGATCACAAAGAAAATCAGATTAATAATTTTGTGCTACGTTGTTAATTTGCTAAATGCATTTTTAAAATTATTTTTTTTAAGAGCTAACTTTGTTTTTCAATTAAAATAGATTTGGTTGAGTGTTTCAGTATTAGGTTTAAAATGAACTACCTTCCAAGACTTGAGTAAAAGAACTCCACGTTATTCTGATGGTGCTTCTGCATCAGAACAATCGGAACGACATCGCTCCCGAGTGACTTTTGTATGGTTGACGTAAACAAACCATGGGGGCTGACTTCGATGATGATTGCATTTCTGGGGATCTTCATGATCGCCTCGTGAAAGTAGACAGGGGAGGTGGTGTTGTTGATGTAGTACTGCTCAGAGCAGACGAGAGCAGCTGGCGACTCCCACAAGTCCTCGCTGACAGAAGTACTCAGCCATTTTGTCGATCTTTTCTTGGGGTCAGGAAAAATCTGCCAATTTTAAAGTATGTTAAAAAAGTCAACAATAATTTAGTAAAAATGATGCATACGATTTTCCTTGTTAATCTGCAAACAACAACTAAATAATTTTGCAGTTGGGATTACACCGTTCTAAAAACTATATTCGTTTTGTAATTTGAATTTTAAAATGGCATTAGTGAATTTTTGCAAATATGTTAAACAATGGGCTTATAGGTTTAACTCATACTAAATTTGGTGCAGTTTTAAAAATATATATTTTCATATAATTTGTTTAAAATAACGTTTACTTTAACATTAACTCTAGTTACTTTTTGTGTGCAGTTATTGGTCGAAAGAAAAAAAAAACAACTTACTGATTGAAGTATTTCTTCCTGGAACGAGTTCAGTTTTTTAAGGTTTGGCGTGTGGAAGGCTATTCCTCCGCTGGGAACTTCCGCAGCGAACTTGCCCTCGTTGTTGAGCTCTTCAATCAAACGCTCAACGCCGTCTGCCTCCCCGGATATCGTCACAGAATCGATTCCGTTATGGCATGCTGGGAAAACTCCCGGTGGACATCGACGTTTGCATTCTTCCCACGTTAGTCCTGAAAATAGTAGATTCCTGGAGCATGTGATATGGTGTAGTTGGCTATTCAATGTAAAAAAACAAATCATGTTTCCAGAAGTAAAGTAAATACATTAAAAAAAATGTGAATCTCCTTTTGACTATTTTTAAGTAAGTAAACTCCACACAAAACATGCAGTTTTATCCTCTAGGCGTGGTTGTAAGCTATGTATTATTGTTCAAATTTTCTGAACATTGTTCAAGCGTTTGACATTAGTGGAAAAAATAAAACTACTGTTATCATCGCTAACCAAATATGAATCATTTTCACTATTTATACTTTTATAAGACACAAATTATGAAACATACTGGCACACGACCGGAAGTACGAATGACAAATGTGTATGCTTGCATATGATGAAGAGCATGAGATATATGCTTATACGTGATACAAAGAATGAAATTGATATACTTGTAATGCGGTCAACTTTGAAAGAAATAGAGTTATAAAATGTAGCTCACCGACAACCGCCATCTTCCCTTCACTCAACACTTTCTTCCCTTCCAAAAAGAGCATCGCCCGACAATAGGCCAAGGTCATGGCCTGTTCTAGACTTAGACACCCATCTGCATAGCCGCATGAGACCTCGCCGTTCGAGTGACCGATAAAGCCGTCAGCTTCTATTCCGACTTTGTACAATAGGTTCACTAGTGCGATCTGTTGAGATGAAAATAACATTGGCACAAAACTAGGATGCAGGGACCACTCGTATGGTCAAGTAATATATGTTTACGTCTAATAACACAAATGTTTATAAAACTACTCTACGTCCAAGCTACATCGCCTGTACAGTTGTGATGGCCATAAACTAACTCACTTGCACAGATGGAATAACCATCAGTGAACTCACCTGCACAGCTGTGATGATCATCTCTCACCTACACAGCTGTGATGACCATCTCTCACCTGCACAGCTGTGATGACCATCTCTCACCTGTACAGCTGTGATGACAATCTCTCACCTACACAGCTGTGATGACCACCTCTCACCTACACAGCTGTGATGACCACCTCTCACCTGCACAGCTGTGATGACCATCTCTCACCTACACAGCTGTGATGACCATCTCTCACCTACACAGCTGTGATGACCATCTCTCACCTACACAGCTGTGATGACCACCTCTCACCTACACAGCTGTGATGACCATCTCTCACCTGCACAGCTATGATGACCATCTCTCATCTACACAGCTGTGATGACCATCTCTCACCTATACAGCTGTGATGACCATCTCTCACCTACACAGCTGTGATGACCCTCAACTAACTCACCTGCACAACTGTGATGACCCTCACCTAACTCACCTGCACAGCTGTGATGACCATCTCTCACCTACACAGCTGTGATGACCATCTCTCACCTACACAGCTGTGATGACCACCTCTCACCTACACAGCTGTGATGACCATCTCTCACCTGCACAGCTGTGATGACCATCTCTCATCTACACAGCTGTGATGACCATCTCTCACCTATACAGCTGTGATGACCATCTCTCACCTACACAGCTGTGATGACCCTCAACTAACTCACCTGCACAACTGTGATGACCCTCACCTAACTCACCTGCACAGCTGTGATGACCATCTCTCACCTACACAGCTGTGATGACCATCTCTCACCTACACAGCTGTGATGACCATCTCTCACCTGCACAGCTGTGATGACCCTCACCTAACTCACCTGCACAGCTGTGATGACCACCTCTCACCTACACAGCTGTGATGACCATCTCTCACCTGCACAGCTGTGATGACCATCAACTAACTCACCTGCACAACTGTGATAACCACCTCTCACCTGCACAGCTGTGATGACCATCTCTCACCTACACAGCTGTGATGACCATCTCTCACCTGCACAGCTGTGATGACCATCTCTCACCTGTACAGCTGTGATGACCATCTCTCACCTACACAGCTGTGATGACCACCTCTCACCTACACAGCTGTGATGACCATCTCTCACCTACACAGCTGTGATGACCATCTCTCACCTACACAGCTGTGATGACCATCTCTCACCTACACTTCTGTGATGACCATCAACTAACTCACCTACACAGCTGTGATGACCACCTCTCAACTACACAGCTGTGATGACCATCTCTCACCTACACAGCTGTGATGACCATCTCTCATCTACACAGCTGTGATGACAATCTCTCACTTACACAGCTGTGATGACCATCTCTCACCTGCACAGCTGTGATGACCATCAACTAACTCACCTGCACAACTGTGATGACCACCTCTCACCTGCACAACTGTGATGACCATCAACTAACTCACCTACACAGCTGTGATGACCACCTCTCACCTACACAGCTGTGATGACCATCTCTCACCTACACAGCTGTGATGACCATCTCTTATCTACACAGCTGTGATGACCATCTCTCACCTACACAGCTGTGATGACCATCTCTCACCTGCACAGCTGTGATGACCATCAACTAACTCACCTACACAGCTGTGATGACCACCTCTCACCTGCACAGCTGTGATGACCATCTCTCACCTACACAGCTGTGATGACCATCTCTCATCTGCACAGCTGTGATGACCATCTCTCACCTGTACAGCTGTGATGACCATCTCTCACCTACACAGCTGTGATGACCACCTCTCACCTGCACAGCTGTGATGACCATCAACTAACTCACCTACACAGCTGTGATGACCACCTCTCACCTACACAGCTGTGATGACCATCTCTCACCTACACAGCCGTGATTACCATCTCTCATCTACACAGCTGTGATGACCATCTCTCACCTACACAGCTGTGATGACCATCTCTCACCTGCACAGCTGTGATGACCATCAACTAACTCACCTACACAGCTGTGATGACCACCTCTCACCTGCACAGCTGTGATGACAATCTCTCACCTACACAGCTGTGATGACCATCTCTCACCTGCACAGCTGTGATGACTATCAACTAACTCACCTGCACAGCTGTGATGACCACCTCTCACCTGCACAGCTGTGATGACCATCTCTCATCTACACAGCTGTGATGACCATCTCTCACCTACACAGCTGTGATGACCATCTCTCATCTACACAGCTGTGATGACCATTTCTCACCTACACAGCTGTGATGACCATATCTCACCTACACAGCTGTGATGACCATCTCTCACCTGCACAGCTGTGATGACCACCTCTCATCTACACAGCTGTGATGACCATCTCTTATCTACACAGTTGTGATGACCATCTCTCATCTACACAGCTGTGATGACCATTTCTCACCTACACAGCTGTGATGACCATCTCTCACCTACACAGCTGTGATGACCATCTCTCACCTACACAGCTGTGATGACCACCTCTCATCTACACAGCTGTGATGACCATCTCTCATCTACACAGCTGTGATGACCATCTCTCACCTACACAGCTGTGATGACCATCTCTCACCTACACAGCTGTGATGACCATCTCTCACCAGACAGCTGTGATGACCATCTCTCATCTACACAGCTGTGATGACCATCTCTCACCTACACAGCTTTGATGACCATCTCTCACCTGCACAGCTGTGATGACCATCTCTCACCTAATACAGATGTGATGACCATTTCTCACCTACACAGCTGTGATGACCATCTCTCACCTACACAACTGTGATGACCATCTCTCACCTACACAGCTGTGATGACCATCTCTCAGCTGCACAGCTGTGATGACCATCTCTCACCTACACAGCTGTGATGACCATCTCTTACTTACACAGCTGTGATGACCATCTCTCACCAAACAGCTGTGATGACCATCTCTCACCTACACAGCTGTGATGACCATCTCTCACCTACACAGCTGTGATGACCATCTCTCACCTACACAGCTGTGATGACCATCTCTCACCTACACAGCTGTGATGACCATCAACTAACTCACCTACACAGCTGTGATGACCATCTCTCACCTACACAGCTGTGATGACCATCTCTCACCTACACAGCTGTGATGACCATCTCTCACCTACACAGCTGTGATGACCATCTCTCACCTACACGGCTGTGTTGACCATCTCTCACCTACACAGCTGTGATGACCATCTCTCACCTACACATCTGTGATGACCATCTCTCACTTACACAGCTGTGATGACCATCTCTCACCTGCACAGCTGTGATGACCATCAACTAACTCACCTACACAGCTGTGATGACCATCTCTCACCTGCACAGCTGTGATGACCATCAACTAACTCACCTGCACAGCTGTGATGACCATCTCTCACCTACACAGCTGTGATGACCATCTCTTACTTACACAGCTGTGATGACCATCTCTCACCAAACAGCTGTGATGACCATCTCTCACCTACACAGCTGTGATGACCATCTCTCACCTACACAGCTGTGATGACCATCTCTCACCTACACAGCTGTGATGACCATCTCTCACCTACACAGCTGTGATGACCATCAACTAACTCACCTACACAGCTGTGATGACCATCTCTCACCTACACAGCTGTGATGACCATCTCTCACCTACACAGCTGTGATGACCATCTCTCACCTACACAGCTGTGATGACCATCTCTCACCTACACGGCTGTGTTGACCATCTCTCACCTACACAGCTGTGATGACCATCTCTCACCTACACATCTGTGATGACCATCTCTCACTTACACAGCTGTGATGACCATCTCTCACCTGCACAGCTGTGATGACCATCAACTAACTCACCTACACAGCTGTGATGACCATCTCTCACCTGCACAGCTGTGATGACCATCAACTAACTCACCTGCACAGCTGTGATGACCATCTCTCACCAGACAGCTGTGATGACCATCTCTCACCTACACAGCTGTGATAACATCTCTCAACTACACAGCTGTGGTGACCATCTCTCACCTACACAGCTGTGATGACCATCTCTCACCTGCACAGCTGTGATAACATCTCTCACCTGCACAGCTGTGATGACCATCTCTCACCTACACAGCTGTGATGACCATCTCTCACCTACACAGCTGTGATGACCATCTCTCACCTGCACAGCTGTGATGACCATCAACTAACTCACCTACACAACTGTGATGACCACCTCTCACCTACACAGCTGTGATGACCATCAACTAACTCACCTACACAACTGTGATGACCACCTCTCACCCTCACCTACACAGCTGTGATGACCATCTCTCACCTGCACAGCTGTGATGACCATTACCTAACTCACCCACACAGCTGTGATGACCATCTCTCACCTACACAGCTGTGATGACCACCTCTCACCTACACAGCTGTGATGACCATCTCTCACCTACACAGCTGTGATGACCATCTCTCACTTACACAGCTGTGATGACCATCTCTCACCTACACAGCTGTGATGACCATCTCTCACATGCACAGCTGTGATGACCATCACCTAACTCACCTGCACAGCTGTGATGACCATCTCTCACCTGCACAGCTGTGATGACCATCTCTCACCTGCACAGCTGTGATGACCATCAACTAACTCACCTACACAGCTGTGATGACCATCTCTCACCTGCACAGCTGTGATGACCATCAACTAACTCACCTGCACAGCTGTGATGACCATCTCTCACCAGACAGCTGTGATGACCATCTCTCACCTACACAGCTGTGATAACATCTCTCAACTACACAGCTGTGGTGACCATCTCTCACCTACACAGCTGTGATGACCATCTCTCACCTGCACAGCTGTGATAACATCTCTCACCTGCACAGCTGTGATGACCATCTCTCACCTACACAGCTGTGATGACCATCTCTCACCTACACAGCTGTGATGACCATCTCTCACCTGCACAGCTGTGATGACCATCAACTAACTCACCTACACAACTGTGATGACCACCTCTCACCTACACAGCTGTGATGACCATCAACTAACTCACCTACACAACTGTGATGACCACCTCTCACCCTCACCTACACAGCTGTGATGACCATCTCTCACCTGCACAGCTGTGATGACCATTACCTAACTCACCCACACAGCTGTGATGACCATCTCTCACCTACACAGCTGTGATGACCACCTCTCACCTACACAGCTGTGATGACCATCTCTCACCTACACAGCTGTGATGACCATCTCTCACTTACACAGCTTTGATGACCATCTCTCACCTACACAGCTGTGATGACCATCTCTCACCTGCACAGCTGTGATGACCATCACCTAACTCACCTGCACAGCTGTGATGACCATCTCTCACCTGCACAGCTGTGATGACCATCTCTCACCTACACAGCTGTGATGACCATCTCTCACCTACACATCTGTGATGACCATCTCTCACTTACACAGCTGTGATGACCATCTCTCACCTGCACAGCTGTGATGACCATCAACTAACTCACCTACACAGCTGTGATGACCATCTCTCACCTGCACAGCTGTGATGACCATCAACTAACTCACCTGCACAGCTGTGATGACCATCTCTCACCTACACAGCTGTGATGACCATCTCTTACTTACACAGCTGTGATGACCATCTCTCACCAAACAGCTGTGATGACCATCTCTCACCTACACAGCTGTGATGACCATCTCTCACCTACACAGCTGTGATGACCATCTCTCACCTACACAGCTGTGATGACCATCTCTCACCTACACAGCTGTGATGACCATCTCTCACCTACACAGCTGTGATGACCATCAACTAACTCACCTACACAGCTGTGATGACCATCTCTCACCTACACAGCTGTGATGACCATCTCTCACCTACACAGCTGTGATGACCATCTCTCACCTACACAGCGGTGATGACCATCTCTCACCTACACGGCTGTGTTGACCATCTCTCACCTACACAGCTGTGATGACCATCTCTCACCTACACATCTGTGATGACCATCTCTCACTTACACAGCTGTGATGACCATCTCTCACCTGCACAGCTGTGATGACCATCAACTAACTCACCTACACAGCTGTGATGACCATCTCTCACCTGCACAGCTGTGATGACCATCTCTCACCAGACAGCTGTGATGACCATCTCTCACCTACACAGCTGTGATAACATCTCTCAACTACACAGCTGTGGTGACCATCTCTCACCTACACAGCTGTGATGACCATCTCTCACCTGCACAGCTGTGATAACATCTCTCACCTGCACAGCTGTGATGACCATCTCTCACCTACACAGCTGTGATGACCATCTCTCACCTACACAGCTGTGATGACCATCTCTCACCTACACACACAGCTGTGATGACCATCTCTCACCTACACAGCTGTGATGAACATCTCTCACCTCACAGCTGTGATGACCATCAATAAACTCACCTACACAGCTGTGATGACCATCTCTCACCTACACAGCTGTGATGACCATCTCTCACCTACACAGCTGTGATGACCATCTCTCACCTACACAGCTGTGATGACCATCTCTCACCTACACAGCTGTGATGACCATCTCTCACCTGCACAGCTGTGATGACCATCTCTCACCTACACAGCTGTGATGACCATCTCTCACCTACACAGCTGTGTTGACCATCTCTCACCTACACAGCTGTGATGACCATCTCTCACCTGCACAGCTGTGATGACCATCTCTCACCTACACAGCTGTGATAACATCTCTCACCTACACAGCTGTGATGACCATCTCTTACCTGCACAGCTGTGATAACATCTCTCACCTGCACAGCTGTGATGACCATCTCTCACCTACACAGCTGTGATGACCATCTCTCACCTACACAGCTGTGATGACCATCTCTCACCTACACAGCTGTGATGACCATCTCTCACCTACACAGCTGTGATGACCATCAACTAACTCACCTACACAGCTGTGATGACCATCTCTCACCTACACAGCTGTGATGACCATCTCTCACCTACACAGCTGTGATGACCATCTCTCACCTACACAGCGGTGATGACCATCTCTCACCTACACGGCTGTGTTGACCATCTCTCACCTACACAGCTGTGATGACCATCTCTCACCTACACATCTGTGATGACCATCTCTCACTTACACAGCTGTGATGACCATCTCTCACCTGCACAGCTGTGATGACCCTCAACTAACTCACCTGCACAACTGTGATGACCCTCACCTAACTCACCTGCACAGCTGTGATGACCATCAACTAACTCACCTGCACAGCTGTGATGACCATCTCTCACCAGACAGCTGTGATGACCATCTCTCACCTACACAGCTGTGATAACATCTCTCAACTACACAGCTGTGGTGACCATCTCTCACCTACACAGCTGTGATGACCATCTCTCACCTGCACAGCTGTGATAACATCTCTCACCTGCACAGCTGTGATGACCATCTCTCACCTACACAGCTGTGATGACCACCTCTCACCTACGCAGCTGTGATGACCATCTCTCACCTGCACAGCTGTGATGACCATCTCTCACCTGCACAGCTGTGATAACATCTCTCACCTACACAGCTGTGATGACCACCTCTCACCTACGCAGCTGTGATGACCATCGACTAACTCACCTACACAACTGTGATGACCACCTCTCACCCTCACCTACACAGCTGTGATGACCATCTCTCACCTACACAGCTGTGAAGAACATCTCTCACCTGCACAGCTGTGATGACTATCAACTAACTCACCTACACAGCTGTGATGACCATCTCTCACCTACACAGCTGTGATGACCATCTCTCACCTGCACAGCTGTGATGACCATCAACTAACTCACCTACACAACTGTGATGACCACCTCTCACCTACACAGCTGTGATGACCATCAACTAACTCACCTACACAACTGTGATGACCACCTCTCACCCTCACCTACACAGCTGTGATGACCATCTCTCACCTGCACAGCTGTGATGACCATTACCTAACTCACCCACACAGCTGTGATGACCATCTCTCACCTACACAGCTGTGATGACCACCTCTCACCTACACAGCTGTGATGACCATCTCTCACCTACACAGCTGTGATGACCATCTCTCACTTACACAGCTGTGATGACCATCTCTCACCTACACAGCTGTGATGACCATCTCTCACCTGCACAGCTGTGATGACCATCACCTAACTCACCTGCACAGCTGTGATGACCATCTCTCACCTGCACAGCTGTGATGACCACCTCTCACCTACACAGCTGTGATGACCACCTCTCACCTACACAGCTGTGATTACCATCTCTCACCTGCACAGCTGTGATGACCACCAGCGGGTACGTCTTGTCCAGAGAGTCGACCCTAGAATCAGTGGTGAAGAACCCCAGCAGATCAATGCCATGTAGGGCCAGCGTGTGACGTGAGCACCTCTCTATCGTGTCCCTGAAGTCTGAGATCTGCATCATGTCCCTCCCCATGTCAGCCCACTGGCAACCCAGCCCAGGAAACACAAACCAGACTGGAGGTCTGGACGCCGGCACAGGCTGTGGAGAGTATCATTTATTTTATAAGTTTTGAGAACCGCAATTGAGATAATTCACTAAAGACAATACTTTAGCTATTTTTGTTTTGTATTTTTTAATTTATAATCTTATCAAAATTTGTCAAAAGTAAAAGGCATATTTAAAAATTGCTAATCCAAAATTTAGACCAAGTCAGCTTTTAAAATAGTTATGAACGATTAAAAATCAATTAAATTTTGATTAATATATACATTTAGATGAAAATGCCCATGAGCCAAGTGGGCGTAAAGACCTGAACAAGCTGAATATCTGTGCCTCCATTGAGAACAGTGAACCCTCTAAACGGCATCTTGTGTAGGTCCATGTTCGCAGATGACGAGAGCAGAGCCTGGAGCTCTAAACAAGAGCTGTGTCTTTTGGCGAGTTCCAGCATCGCTTTAGTGCCGTCCTCTGTACGGCCGCCGTAGGTAAACAGCCGTGTCTGTTGACCTTCTGGACTTGGTGTGATGTTCCGTGTGTCTGGTGGGCTGTTGTGTAGATAGGGATTTATTATACGCAGATTTTAAAATCTTATGTGATAAATACTAGTAGAAAATCTATGTAACTACATCCGTTTAGTCTATTCTTAACGTGTTGCTTACTTTTGACATGAAGCTTGCTGGGTTATAACAGAATTTAGTCCAGAACAATTGATTTAAGCACGATATTGGACAACAATTTTGACTGTACTTAGAAAACCGTAAACACCATTCAACTCTAAAAAAGTTTACTTTCGCAACTGATGGCCCATAGAACAAGTGAATTAGAGTTAACATTTTTTATGACCTAACGTAATTTAGGTACCTATTAGAGCTGGGTAGACTCATAACTACACAACATCACACGTTTACAATGTGAGGATGAGCCTGTTGAAAAATACGAAGATTAGTTTGTTCACTTTGTTAGCAATGTTTACCCTAAAATCAAATGTGCGTTAGATCCGCCGAGTCCAAATGAATTGACAGCCATGATCCCGCCTTTATACGCCGTGTTCTCTGTGACTACTTGGACTGTCCCATTTAGCAGGGCAGGGATGTTTGGGTTTGGTAAAGTGAAGTGAAGATTGGCAGGGATGGTCCCGTAGTGCATAGAGAGAACCACCTTTACTAGCGACATCATACCTAAAACAGAGGACATTCAATTCTTTGTTTAAACAGTATTGAAATGTGTACCGTATGCATACATATACACAATGAGTTATTTTTTACCTCGACCAATATATATATATATATATATATATATATATATATATATATATATATATATATATATATATATATATATATATAAATATATATATATAACATGAACTCATATACATGTTTAGTCACTTTTAGTATGTGTATTTATGTTTTTCAATTTCATCGATTTTTTTTCTGGGTGTGTTAAATAAGTATAGTCAGACATTTTGGTCTAAGCTGCTACTTCATTTTCAGAAGTATAGGCAAAAAAGTCTAGGGATGTCAATAAAGAGATCTACGCAACAATTTAACCCACTTAAAGTTTTATTCGACACATGGACCAAAAACATAAAAATGAAACAAAACTTAAGGTGAAAAAGAGATGGGAATTATAATAGAATATATACTTTACAGAATTATATATATATATATATATATATATATATATATATATATATATATATATATATATATATATATATATATATATATATATATACAAAACACAGATTAGTGGAACCATTAAGTACTTGATGCACGAACTAATAATGTTCTTTTGAGAGCAGAAGATATGGTTCACAAAGAGACATTGTTCATTTATGGAAATAAACTGCTAATACGTTTAGGCTTAGATCGATAAATTGCAATAGAAGAAAGGCTTAACATAACAGAAGTAAATCATACTGAGAAATAAAAAGAAAAACATCGTGAATGGACACCAGCGAGAATAAAAACGTGCTTTTTAGATTTAGACCGTAAAAAAAAAATAAAAAATAAAAACTTAAGCCTAAAATTAATTTAGAAATTTTATACTTTTAGAATAAATGCTATAAAAGTTGCAAATCCAGAGAACTTGAAAACAATTTGTTGAGTTTAAGGCTACATTTCTATTTATTTTCATCAAGCTTAAGTTATAACTGGATGTTTCACTTTCGTAAGACAAATATTGATTGGCTGTACAGTAACTTAGTGATGGATAACTATTTGTTTACAAAACTTTGCAGATCAAGTTTTTAAATAACAATGCAAATTTAAACCCCATGACCTAGCTTTTCTATTTTTAGCTTACAATGTGTACAATAAAACTTATGGCGGCCTTTCGAATAACAGGATGCCATTGTTTATGTCGCCATTACACGTGAAAACCAAAGTGTTTTTGCTTTTTTTTTAATTTTTTATTTAGTTACCAAAATATTAAAAAAACATCAAATACATCCAATCTTTAGTATAGTCCGAAAAAAAACAGACGGACAGGATTTTATAACCATATTAATTGTAACTAGGCTACGCCGTGCATGATTTTTAAATTAATTTATGGACCTCTCAAATACCTTTGAGACTTTTCTCGCTGGCTTCCATTGAAGTAAATCTTACTCTGATTATTTAAAGTAATATAGAAACAGTATTTAATATTTTTTGAAACATCTGCTTTTGTATGCAATCTACATTTATTATGAACTTTCCGATTTCTTATAAAATAATCTTTAAAGCCGCTTATAGTTTGATATTTTGGTTAAAGTGTTTGATGAGTTTAAATTGTAAAATATATAAGCGTAAATATTATTTTTTATAATGATTATAATATTTAATTTTAATTAATTAACGTTTAATAATCTATATTTTTGTTATTTGGTTAAAACTGTACTTCGTTTTATTTTTAAAAGTCTTTTGCGAATCGTCGCCCTTGATTTTCCTGAAATTATTACAAATGGGAAGTAGCTAACACATTGATATTGTTAACATTAGAATGATAATAAAATATTATATAAAAATCTAATAATCTAATATTGTAATCAATAATACATAAAATTAATAAATATTATATTTTGTCCCTTCAATACAAAATCTTTTCCCGTATTTTCGACTTCTCATAAAAAGTGTCTAAATATTTTAAAATTTTCATCTTGTGTTCTTTTTATAAACTGCATAGTTTACAATGTCGGTTTGTTTGTTGTTTTTATTTTGTTTGTGGGCTGTGACAAATCTTGTAACTCAATTTTTACCCGCTATGAAAGCAACGATTTCTTTCGCTTCACCAGATTCCAGATACATTAATCTCCGATGCCAATACAAGAATATATACTTTCAATCTAATTAGCAATTAAGTTAGTCATTAAAATTTAATTAAAAAAACTACTAAATTAAAAAATAAAGGGGGTGGAAGATAAAAAGAAGGAGCAGATAATCTTTCAAGTATTGTAAGCTACTGATCGGGTTTTAAAGCAAACATTTTTAGTCGTAGTCTATATAGTTCAAACTTAATTAAGAAAGAATCACTACAAAGTGGAAAATCAAAAAAATTAAAAACCTTTATACTAATAAGCTTTTAAATGTAGTTAAAATAAGAAAAAAACTCGCTTTCTTTAATAAAAGCTTTGGTCCTTAAAATGTGTAAGAGATCCCAAACAGTAGGATGGTCGCTACATCCAAAAACATTGGAACGATGAATACATTCAAAATAATATTTTGAACTGAATATCCGCATATTTTTGTATATTATCGCGCTGACGAAGTCCATGTGTTTATACCGATGAGTGATTATCTAAATGAAGGACACACTACCTAGCGGCTCATATAATAGATAAGTAAGCGCCTCCCAGTTTAGGAACCATTTCAGACAGTCGCTGATTCTTGTCTTGCTAAAGAAGACCTACGCTTGAAAACTAAAATCAGATCCAATATTGAAAAGTCTGCTCTACTAGCTAACCCATACCTACTCAACAACATTTGATATAAATTGTAAAATGACCGACTTATAATATATCACAAATAATAATTAAAAAAAGGTTTAAAAGAAAGATATGATGCCATAACACCACAAACATGTTTTAGTCAATGAATCAAATTTACATTGTGTATCTAGTGTCAAACCACACACCACAAACACTCACACAAACAGAGACACAAACACACTAATATTCTCTCTCTCTCTCTCTCTCTCTCTCTCTCTCTCTCTCTCTTCTCTTACACACACACACTCATATTTACTTCCACAATCAGAAGGTGTTGCTTGAAATTGTATGTACATAAAAGCGATTCAAAAATTTGTAGATACAATATTTAAGTACGATCACTTAGAGTTTAGAGAAACAAAAACGATTTTCGCTTTAAGTACTTGCAATAATTTTATTTTTAAATGTTGTCGAATGACGTCAAATCAGGTTATATGAAACAAAACATTTTTGGTATTGGTGTCCCTAATTATCTATTCGAACTTTGTGACGTATATGTTAGGCAATAATGTCAAATAATAACCCTTTAACACATGCACATGACGAAAAAGGAAATAAAAAGCAACAATTCTAACCTGCTGAGCACTCAGTGTGACCGCAGTTGGACTTGACGGAGCCAATCAACAAGGGGCCGCCCCTCCCTGATGTAAACAGACCCTCAGTGGTCAGACCCCGGACTTCCTCAGGGTCACCAACAGCTGTCCCTGTCCCGTGGGTCTCCACGTAAGAAACCTGGAGTAGTAACAGTTTTAAAAAGTTAAAGATTCACTACAGTAGTGCTAAAATATTTACTGATGAAGCTGCGTTACAATTTAGAATCACATGTTATGGCGTAGTACATATTCAATAAATTTTAAACGAGTATTAATTAATTTATTTTTACATTTCCCTGCCTACTTGGTTCACCATTATACGGAGATTCTACAATAATATTGATACATTTTAGTTTGGTAAAAGTCTAAAATTGCACTTAAGTTCAAACTTACTTGTAAATTATGGAAATGTTAACATACATTTGCATAGAACAGATAATGTGTACCTCTAATGGACTGAGCCCAATTTGCTTGTATGTTTCCTTTAGTAGCTCATACTGCTGTCGTCCATACGGCGCTAAGAATCCTGAAATAATTTCAAAACGGTTTGTGTGTTGAAAGTGTGGACTCTTTTAACTAGACTAATTTAATAGAGGTGGCATTTTATTGAATGGCTAGAAAACAATATACAAAGGGTGGAAGGTATATAAGTTATATATATATATATATATATATATATATATATATATATATATATATATATATATATATATATATATATATATATATTATATATATATATATATATATATAAATATATATATATATATATATATATATATATATATATATATATATATATATATATATATATATATATATATATGTAAATATATATATATATATATATATATATATATATATATATATATATATGCATGCTATGTACATATATGTAGAGAGTGTGGGAGGGAGGGGGGAAGTGGGATTAGCAAGATCAACAGTCCATGTGTGTGGTAGTTTTTTTCCTCAAACTATGAAATCAAATGTTGTCTACAAACTATGAAATAAAATGTTGTCTACAAACTATGAAATAAAATGTTGCCTACAAACTATGAAATAAAATGTTGCCTACAAACTATAAAATAAAAAGTGGCCTACAAACTATGAAATAAAACGTTGCCTACAAACTATGAAAAAAAATTGCCTACAAACTATGAAATAAAAAGTTGCCTACAAACTATGAACTAAAATGTTGCCTACAAATTATGAAATAAAATGTTGCCTACAAATTATGAAATAAAATGTTGCCTACCGTTGGAACTTGTTCCATCATTGTTGACGTTACAATGAATTACTCGGGCGTAGCTGCGTTTGCAATGTTTTCGTCGCTGAAGCAAGACCATCGCCCCGCCCTCTGACTTAACAAAGCCGTTGCCTAATCAACAAGATTTTGGGGAAAAAACTATGTAAACATTTATAACTACAAGCTTTAAAAGGATAATAAAACACAAATTAACCATTGCTTGGGACGGTAAAGTCTAATAGCAGAGAGTTCGACTGCTAACCAAAAGGTCTTTAGTGAACGTAAAAAAGGTCACAGATACAGGTACACTGTACTTCACCTGCTCTGGGGACCGTAATATTTCATAGGGTACTTTAAAATCATTGTACTCTGAATACTGTAAGAAATTAACTGAGCAAGACAATGTTTTTACTAAATAATGGGAGTCTAATTTCTTTTTTGTGTTTTTAAATATAAGGTAATACCAGGCTTCTTCGTGTTAGAAATCTTTGTTTACATCAGGGGTCTCCAAACTACGAAATCTTTTTGTCCAAGGAAAAATCGTTTGTTGGTGATGGTTGAGGAAGTTTGCCCAGAAAAATCAAAGACATGCCTGGAAGGAATTGGCCCCCGAACTGAAATTTAATAGTTAATGCGGCCTCGGACTGAAAAGTTTGGAGACCCCTGGTTAACATGAAAGAATCTGGTTCCAGAACTACTCACCTCCGGCATCAAACGATTTACAGCGTCCGTCAGGACTGAGTAGATTGAACCGCTTGAAATGGACGAACGACTTTTGGTTGCACTGGATGGTCAAGCCTCCAACAACAGCTGTGTCGATGACGCCATCTTTGAAACACCGCAGGGCATAGTCGATGGCGAACAGGGCGCTGGAGCAGGCGGTGTCAACTGTCACACTGGGACCTGGAGTTAAATGTGTCAACTGTCACACTGGGGTCTGGGGTTAAATGTGTCAACTGTCACACTGGAACCTGGTGTTAAATGTGTCAACTGTCACACTGGGACCTGGGGTTAAATGTGTCAACTGTCACACTGGGGTTAAATGTGTCAACTGTCACACTGGGGCCTAGGGTTAAATGTGTCAACTGTCACACTGGGACCTGGGGTTAAATGTGACAACTGTCACACTGGGACCTGGGGTTAAATGTGTCAACTGTCACACTGGGGGTTCAATGTGTCAACTGTCACACTGGGACCTGGGGTTAAATGTGTCAACTGTCACACTGGGACCTGGGGTTAAATGTGTCAACTGTCACACTGGGACCTGGGGTTAAATGTGTCAACTGTCACACTGGGACCTGGGGTTAAATGTGTCAACTGTCACACTGGGAACTGGGGTTAAATGTGTCAACTGTCACACTGTCACCTGGGGTTAAATGTGTCAACTGTCACACTGGGACCTAAAGTTAAATGTGTCAACTGTCACACTGGGACCTGGGGTTAAATGTGTCAACTGTCACACTGGGACCTGTGGTTAAATGTGTCAACTGTCACACTGGGACCTGGGGTTAAATGTGTCAACTGTCACACTGGGACCTGGGGTTAAATGTGTCAACTGTCACACTGGGACCTGGGGTTAAATGTGTCAACTGTCACACTGGGACCTAAAGTTAAATGTGTCAACTGTCACACTGGGACCTGGGGTTAAATGTGTCAACTGTCACACTGGGGGTTAAATGTGTCAACTGTCACACTGGGACCTAGGGTTAAATGTGTCAACTGTCACACTGGGACCTGGGGTTAAATGTGTCAACTGTCACACTGTTTGCAAATATGTCATTTTTAAAAGGTGTCAACTTGTTTGAATTCGTCATTATTTCAAAGCACCCATCTAGAGTGTGTGATTTTTTTAATTACTTTTAATTTACTATTTAAAAACTGCGTTTTTTAAACCAAGAAGTTAGGGGCGAGGGAGGTTTTCTAACTTTTATGGAAGTATAGGCTT